CACCAAGCCATCTCCCCGGCCCCTCTTTTGGTTTTTTGAGACAAGGTCTTGCTATGTAGCCCAGACTGGCCTTGAAATTACAGCAATCCACCTGCCTCAGCCTCCTGAACGCTGGGATTATAGGTGTGGGTCACCAGGCCAGGCCTGGACCTTCATTCTTGCTTGCTTAAAGCAGCCTATTGCCAGTAGCAGGGAACCTTTAGTTTATAATGGGCAGTCCAGGCCTCCCTCAGGTCAGTCCTGACGGTCATTCTGCAAGCTGATCTGCTTCGTTTACCAGCCATGCTGGTGCCCAGAGTAGGTCGTGAAATCCCAACCTGCCCTCACACTTCTGTGGTCCTTCCACACTCAGCAGACTCACCCAGCAGTCTGTACACCCTGATGGGAAGGACAACCCAGAAAGTGCCAGCCACAGTCCAGTCCGCTCCCCAGAGCCCCGCCAGGGAGCACACCATAGAGGACATCTGAATGTAAACCATAACAACTGTCCTTCCTTAGAACTTTCGCAGGGACCAGGGCAATTAGCAGCAAATATGGGCCAGGGGACATGCTCCCAGTTCCAGGAGTAACTGTATTTGTTGTATTCCCAAGTTCTCACCGCCCAGGGCCCCAGAGCACACAAAGGGTCCCCATAGACCCGTGTGCATCAGCTCCCAGCAACAGAGATGACCTGAAGTTGGGCCTAATGCTGGCTGACGGCCCTGCTCACACCAAGGACCCATCCCCGTGCGTGCGGGGAAGTGGTGACATTCTTCCCCCAGCCCTGAGGGTGTCTGAGGCTCCTCCCCGCTGCTCCTCCATCTCCCCTGAACTTGCAGTCCTTTTTACTTTCTGGGTTTTTTTGTTTTTTTGTTTTTTTTGAGATAGGGTCTTGCTAAGTAGCCCAGACTGGCCTCAAACTGGAGGCCATTCTCCTGCCTCAGCCTCCTGAATGCTGGGATTATAGACACACACCACAATGCCCTTCTTTTTTACGTTGATACAGGGTCTCAGGAAGGCACTAAATTACTCAGGCCAGGCTTGACTTTACAACCCTCTGGCCTCAGCATTCCAGAGTCCTGGGATTACAGGATTGAGCCACCATGCCTAGTTCTGAGTTTGCATTTTATGCCCTGAGCCTGGAGGAGCTCATCCACAGAACAAGGACTGAGCCCAGGGCCCCCAGCGCCAGGGTTCAGGGGAGATGGGAGAAAAATCTGAGAGGGGAGAAGTACAGAAGAGGCTTCCAAGGGGAGGGACATTTGAGAGGGCTGGGTGCTGCTGAGCTGGTAAAGAGATGAAGCCTTTGTCTCGCAAGAGAATTCAGGGTCCTTCCTCCCTCCCTCCCTCCCTCCCTCCCTGCCCCAGTTTGTCATTTGACTGTGGATGGTGCTTTATCCTTTGTAAAAAATGTGTAATGAGGCCTGAATGTAGCAATCTTGTTTCTTTTATGCTTCTGGCTTCCTGCCCTTGTCCCATTCCGGGAATGTGTATTTCATGTGGTAGTCATGTGTGGCCACACTGGGGCCTGGAACAGGGCACTTGCTCAGGAGCTGGGGAGGATCAAGGTCCTGGATAACCTGGCGAGGCCATGGGGAATGGAGCAGAGGGAAGATACTGTGGGGCCAGAGTTTCTATGGGGTGGGGCAGGTCTGTTTCCTCTTTGGGTCTTGATTGCCTCATTGTTGACTGGGTTTGAATAGAGTTCCTGCTTGAAACAGCAAAGTATGGGCCATTGCAGCCTGAAGGCCCGGGGGGAGTGGAATCCTGAGTGGGCTCTGAGGAGCAGCCCAGGCCCAGTCTACCTAGAAAACGAGCTGGTGCTCCTGGGAGTCCTGAGAGAACTGTGACAGCAGAAGTTCTTTGCAAACTGAGAAGTGCCTGGTAAATGGCAGAGGGCAGTATAAGTGGCACCATACTTTGTAGCCTTCTGGAAGGTGCAGCACCATTGAGCACCTTGACTTGAGTGATTAGCCCAGTGTGTTTTCTAAGCTAACCCAAGGTTCTGGGGGCAGCCGATGGGCCACGGAGCAGTCTCTGTTCCCGAGTCAGTGCCCGCGGAGGGAGCCCAGATGGGCAGGATGGGGGAGGGGAGCCAGCCACTGACTGTGCCGTGTCCCCTAGAGCCATCCTCCAGCAACAGGGCTCACCCGTGGATGCCACCATTGCAGCCCTGGTCTGCACCGGAGTTGTCAACCCTCAGAGCATGGGTCTGGGTGGAGGGGTCATCTTCACCATCTACAATGCTACAACAGGTGGGCCTCCATGCTGACACCCCTGGCCCTCCCATGGGGAAGACAGAGTTGTCTACAGCCACCAGGAGCCCCTTCCTGAGTCCCTCCCCACGCCCCTCCCTGGGCTCTCAGGCCTCCCTGCCCTGCACCCGCACTTCTGCTATGCACAACTCTAGGTGTGCATCCTGTTAGCGTAGAGAGGGAAACCTAGGCTGAGAAAGGCTGGGGCCATCTGGAGGTGCCATGACCACTCACTCACTGTACTCCAACTCCAGGGAAGGTGGAGGTCATCAACGCCCGAGAGACTGTCCCAGCCAGCTCTGACCAGCGCCTGCTGGACCAGTGTGAACGTGCCCTACCACTGGGCATAGGTGAGGCCTGGTCGGAGGCACCCACCTCAACCCTACAGGGCCCCTAGAGCTGACCAGAACACCCCTGGAAAGGACAGTGTGCCTCACAGATAAGCTGGGACACCTTGCCTGGGGAACAGAGCTAGGGTATGGGGAGCCTGTCTGGAGCCTGTAATCTTCCGGGGTGGGGCACCTTCCTGGGGGCAGGGCTGTCCCAGTAGGAAAGGGTAAGGCAGGACAGGCTGCCAAAATCCCACAGGATTTCATGAAGATGGGTTGGTAGGAAAGGGCCTCTGGGCGCAGTGCAGGCCCGGGGGGACAAGACACGGACTCCATAGAGAAGGCAGTGGGGAGCCACAGAGGTGCGTGTGGACAGTGGTGTGGCCAGGAGTGGGTCCAAGAGCTCACTCTGTCTGCCATGGCGGGGGCACCAGCTGCGAGAGAAGAGCTGAAGCCCTGGCAGGCCTGGGATTCTCAGGGCTGAGGACAAGTGCGTGCCGCGCAGGGGCCCAGTGGATCGGAGTGCCTGGGGAACTCCGTGGCTATGCTGAGGCCCACCGCCGCCATGGCCGCCTGCCCTGGGCGCAGCTGTTCCAGCCCACCATCGCCCTGCTCCGAGACGACTTCCGCATGCCCTCCATCCTCAGCCAGTTCCTCAGCAGCAGGTTCCTGAGGCCTTTCTTGTATAACTCAACCCTGAGGTAAGATCAAAAGGTGGCCTGTGGGTCAAGGCCACACCTCAGCTGAGCCCAGCCACAGGCCTGGTCTAACTCAGTCCCTCCTGAGCCAGAGGGTTGACCCTTAGGGGACCCAAGAGGCCTGAGAGCTCTTTCTATCTCGGGTCAGAACCTGGCCTGGGCCAGCCAAATAGCTCAGTGGATTAAAGGGCCTGCAAGTAGGCACAGGGGCTGGGGTTCAATCCCAGGGCCTGCCGTG